ACTCGCTTAAGCCCTGGTGCACCGCATCCACCCCTTGTGAGGGCAAACGGGACCGAAGTCCACGACTGGTCCCTAATCAGCTTCCAGCCTGCGTAGTAACCATCCGTCCAGCGTTGCGCGATGACAACGCGAGTCAACAAGAGAGTCCTGGCACCCCCGGAAACTCTCTGCTACTCCTCGCATGCCCGTAAACCGACCGATATGTCTTGCGACGTATCGCTGTAGGATGCATCAGCTAAAACGATCATATCGACTGCCATTTTGACGTACTGTGGGTGCACGATCATGCTCCAAGTGCCGTTCTTCCGGAGGTGGAAGATGTAAAGGATCGGCCAAGGCCGCCAATGGAGGGAGAAGATGGGTGGTGGCTCGATGCCGTGCGTTTCCTCTATATACCCACCTTTCACGTGCGATCAAAGGAAATCTCACGCAAGCCCCATTGTTCGTTCCCTTCTTCCCTTTGTGGCGTCATTCGGCTATTGTCAATGGCCAACGTACCTGAGATCGCCAACCACGATCATCAATATGCATCATGTCCGGTGGGCACGGTAGTGGATCTTAGCATTCTTGTGCCCTGCGCAGTCCACTAAGTAGAAAGGTACGATTACGTGGAGTAAAATCATAGCACATTATGATTGCAAAGGACAAGACGATACAAAAGAGGACCAGTATCCGAAAGTATAGTAGACTGCCGTATGCAAATACTATTATTCATGACCATTGAATGTGTTCCAGGATGTTCCCAGCAAATACACCCGCGTCGTCGCATAGCTCGATGTTCAGTGTCGGAGCGTTGGCTCTCTGGCGACAAGCGAGGACGGAGGATATCCTGAAATCCTGCAACTTCCTCCATTCGTGTCTCTCTGCTACAACGCGAGCGATTTGGGACGCTGGTCCAGGGTAAAGGGGCTCGAGGAGGGTTGTCAAAGGACCGGACAAGAGTAATGTCGTCACCCCTGGGATGGCCGTTGCGATCTCGGATAGCCCTGCAGGCTTCGAGATGGACTGGTCGTCGGGTTTGTATATCCAAGGACCGGGTGCATGAAGATGGACCTCTTGAACGTCATGAGTCGGGAGACTGTCGAGCACATACTGAAAGGCTGTATTGTGATTGATCGGATGATTATCGGGCCACCACATTTTCAGAGTCAGAATCGGCGGAAGAGCTGGTTGGTTCTGGGTGGAGGGGGCACGCAGCCATGAATAACAGGATAGAGTGATTGCACCAGGTTCATAGTACTTCCAGTCTGCGGATCCCGACAAACTGAGGAGGGGTAGGGTCTGTCGCGCGACGTGTCGGATGCCGCTAGCGAGCGCACTATGGATTGATGTATGGTCGTCCGATGTGACACATAGACCGAGGACCACGCTCGTCGTGCTCGGAAAGGAGACGGACGAGAAGAACTCCTCTGCGACTCCCGAGCCGGCTTCGCATGCAACGTCCAACGAGACGAGTGTGGGTAACACTATACTCTTTGAGCTGTTCACAGGAGAGCGGGCGGTTGCAGACAAGAAATCGAGAGCGAGGTGTTTCAACGTTCGGAGTGACAGGAGATGATGGAATAAGCGGTGCATCTTCGGAACACCGCGCAGATTCAACGATGTCAGAGCCTCGGGTAGTTGTGCTTCATGGTGAAGGCGACAGTTAGAGTTGAACTCTAACACGCAGAGCTTTTGTGTCGCGTCGAATAGTCCGAAAGGAAGTTTGCGATGGTGGCCCTGTTCGTTCTTGGGAGAGTGCACACGCAATATGATGAGACTGCGCGGTACGCCATAGCGACATAGATAGTCATGCGCAAGCCTAGCAGAGCTGTACAAGCATAGTTCTGATATGCGTTCGCGGACAAGCCGAGTCTTGCTCTCAGCGATTCTCATTGAGATCGGTTGGGCGTCGATACGGAGGGAAAGAGACACTGGGCGGGCCTTCGAGCGGCTCAGGTACAGAGGGACTAGCGAAAGCGGAATATCCTCATGTAGATTGCACCACAGCACTGGGATTGAACAAAATATGTCATTGAAGAGACGGCAGGTGAGAGGCAGATGAGCTCGATGATAGACATCGTTGGCTGCGGCAAGTTGTATGACGGCGGCCAGTACTTCGTTCGGAAGCAGCAAGACTGTTCATCATGTGAGTTACAGCTCTGGTGCTATAGGAAGGGCAAGACGTACGATTGGGCTGCATTGTTCGAGAGATGCAGATGGTGGTGAAAGGCAAGGGAGTGCTGCTATATTGCGAAGAACAATAGTCGGATCATCGTCCCGGTCACGATCAAACGGCCCGGCCCGGAAGCCACGGATGCGCGACCACGTCAAACTCACTCGTCCTGAACACTGATGTTCTGCATTTCATCATCGGCTCTATGTACTGCAAGAACTACAGGAAGCGCATCTTTACTGTGCCATCTCGCTCTCTCCTTCAAGGTGGCAAAAAAGCCGTAGCGATTGATCACGGTCCACCGTCTTCACCCGCCCATTGTCCCCGAATTCTTGAGCTAAAACTCCCCATCACAGACCACGGATGGCTGGACGCTAACCCTATTTCCTTATCTCCCCCCTCTCTATTGTTGACAACAATGAAGAGATCTCAAGGCGCGACCACTTCTCGGGATGCTGCTAGTACCGTATTGCGGGTTGAATATGGGTTGATAATGCAGCCAGGTACAGAATCAAGCCCACAAGAGGCAGCGAGCTTCTAGCCTACGATCCTCATACAATGGGAGTACACGTAGAGATCTGGACTCTTCCATTGTCTTCAGATCCGTATATCTGAGCACGGTAGGGACCTGGTACATCATCACTCCAGACCAGAGCTACTTTGCATCTCTCATGTCTTCTTCCGAGTCTCTCAAAGGCTCTCAAAGTCGCGTCGCAGGGCCTGCGTTCTACTGTCTGCGGGCATACATCGATATCGCCCAGTTCATGCTTCCCAGCCTCACTCAAAGCTCTTCTCTCGACTTCATCTCAGATGCTAGCAGTCGTTTAGATGAAATGACACGTGGACTCAGCCTGCCTATGGTTTGGCGATCGGGCGACGAGGAAGTGAAGCTAATGAACGAGGTCTCTCCCTATTACGAAGCCTTCTACTCAGAGTCCGCCGTGGATGTGTGTATGACAAGTCCTTTTACCATGACTCCTGAACTCACTGCATGGCATAGACGTATCTAACGGCCACTCGGAGGCTTATGTCGAGCATAGAGCCAAGGCAGCTGGAAGAGAACCATCTGTACGTGATACCACATGTCTTCTTACAACTTCGCTAATATTCTCACCAGAGTTGCACTAGTACTGTCAGTACTCTCCTTCTTCACGTCCAAATACCACTACTCATGACGACTTCAGATATCGAGTCAAATCTCTCCATCAACAAGACAGACCGTGCTCAATCTCCAACTGGCCATATGCCATTGCCATCAACCCGCCGCTTTGTACAAAGTACAAGCTGTACAGCCTGACTTCGTTCGCGAACAAGATGCGCACCTCTGGGGCCTCGAACTCGGTGTGGAAAAAGCAACCCTCCCCTCCTCCGACTACTACGGTGGCTCGCAAGCGACCCTACGCGCCGATGCCCCTCGTCAAGTTAACACCTTTGGTGCGACCTCCCCCAAGCGAGCCTCGTCCTCCGTCCCCTCCGGTCATCAGGCTGGCACCGGAAGTCGTGCCTCACTCCGTCAGGGTCCCGCATCTGCCGCCCAGCATCGCGTCTTCATCCCTTTTGCGATACGCTCCGAGCAAGCCGATACCCCGGCCACCTTTCGAAGCAGTACCAGCTTCGACAATCAGCCGCATCGTCTCGCACACCCGGCGCCTCCGCACCACGCGTCCTCACCCAGTCCGCCACCAAGAGCTACTTAGCGTCGCCATGTATATATGCAAGCACGGGTGGGAATGGACTAGGAACGATCCTCGGGTCGAGGCACTACGACGCAAGTCGTTTTACAAGAGCGTGGGTCATCATATCCTTCACACTGCAGAACGAAGTACTGATCGAAGGCGCAGAATCCCTCGCGAAGCCCACGAGCTTGGAAGAGAATCATCAAGCGTAAGGAGAAACGTAAGTTCTATCATCTCCGTGCGCAGAAACACGACGTTGACAGGGGTCATTAGCCATTGAACGCATAGTTCAAATCCTGAGAGCCCATGAAGAATAAGCCTTATGATTCAAGAAATCCATGGATATCTTATGTATATCTTATTTCCAACACACCACTATGCCTATAGCTTGTATGCCTTCCTTGTATACCAATGAACACTTATGCAATCTTCTATCTGAGTCGCCTTGGCCATACGAAGATCCCATGTGGGCAGAACAAGGGATGGATAAACGATTTGTGAGCATGTAGTGGGGCAGTGAGCGCATGGTCGACCACGGCTTCGACGAGCCCAGCCGTGATCGGCTTAGGATCTGCCTTGAGGTATAACAAGGTGTTCTTCGTCTTCAATCGGTTCGCTAAGGTGGTCCTGCCTCGTCCAGTAAGAAGCTTGTATCCCGTTATGAGACGCCCTCCGTGCTTTTGCGCCACTCGCCGTTGTTCATCTTGAGGATTCAGTTTGCGAACCCCTGTCGCGCTTAGCGAAGGCGTCGCAAGACGAAGGCGTCTGGGTGGTAGGAATCGACGGGAAGAGCGGACTCGCGCATGGCAGCGTCGTCAATAGTTGCACCGTGGAAGCCCATATATCCTAGGCAATCATTGACGAAGAGGTGACGGTTAGGAAGCCAGACTCAAAGCCTCTCGCACGTCACGACAGAGATAAGTGGAGGCGATGGACTTGAGAGCGGCCATCTCGTCCGCGAGGATGCGGATGTCCGAAGTGATTGATGAAAACCATCGAGATCTCACGAGGCGTATCTTCAAGCGAGAGGATGTCTCTATACAACGCAAGAAGATTCACCACCGTTACTCAGACGTATACGTGCTGAGGTTCTCACCTAGATCTGCGGGCACGACGCGCGTGGCACCATAGGTGCGCGCGCGCGCTGGCTGTCAAGTTCGGGCTCGTGATGAAAGAACATAAGTAGCCATGACGGGCGTTGGAACGTCGCAGGAGTACGGTAACAGGGTAATATTGCATGATTACGAATACTGATACAGTCGTACGTACGCAGGAAAGGGGGGAGGGGAAGAAGCAAGGTATGGCGAGGTTTGTAACTCGGAGCACAGGCGAGCAAACATGGTTATGAGGGTATAATCATAGACGATTGTCGCATGTAGGTGTTGAGAGTAAGTTGCCGAAGAAGCCTTCACGCAGGACCTGCGCAATACAGTCATTCAGTGGTATATTGTCACTGAGCACCCATAGCGCACCACTCGATAACCTTGCTCTCTTATATACCGACCACTCGTCCCGGCTCATTCTGACCGGTCGACATCGTAGCAATTAGACGATGGGGTTGAGAGACAGAGAGACACCCGAAAATAGTATGATGATGGTCGCAGATACGATGCAAAGTTACAGAGGAAGGAGCGCGCGGCATCCAGCGGCCGGCCCGCAACGGCGCCGAGCCATCTGCGCGTTGAACTTCGCAGTGCTGGCAGGTGCTGGCCTGCCGCTCACCATCAACTTGAGCTAGGACAATTGATTCCCAGTCTCAAAGCATCTCTGCACTCAGACCTTCTCATACAATCGCGATGATACGACGACCTTGTCTGTGCAAACCACAGCGATTCTTGACTGGCATAACACATCTCTGCCGCATTTTGAAGTTTGCGCGTACTTTCGTGTTCGTAGTACTTCCTTATACCCTGAGGATGGACGTGTCGGACCCTTGCTATCACAGTCGTGCCGAAAGTCTATTCACGCGGTACGGAGGATATAGATCCATTTCATGACTATTTGCGTACAGAGGCCCTGCCCATCGAAGGGAGGAGCGTGAAGGCTAACCCGCATGCCATTCCGGGGCGTATCCGCTCCCTGCCCGTCCGGGTCTTGCGCATAACAGGAATGCGGCTCGAGGTTGCCCCTCAAGACCGCCAAAACGCCTACGACCAAGAGGGAGTCGGCCCTCGGTCACCCACGCTCCGGGCCACCGTACACTCTATACTACGACATAGATGATTGAAAGGACGTACGTACCAGCTCGACGCAAAAGCCTGCGAAGAAGGTCAGTCGTGTTCACGCCTAGCCAAAGCACCACGTACAGAGACTGAGATCGCTCTTGCAGGTGCATGTGCATGAACGCCGCTAGGGCGCATCTCGGCGCCACCTGCTACAGGCAACGCCGAGGGGACGGCCGGGGAGCTGACTCGCCGCGTCCTGCCGACAGGGAGGGGCTAGTATGAATGGAAGGGAGGAAGGGGAAGTGATAGAGGTGTGCCCCTTTGTACAGCAGGCCGACTCGCTTCGCCCACGCCGAGGCAGAGTCTTTGCGTCTTGCGCTCGACTCGCTTAAGCCCTGGTGCACCGCATCCACCCCTTGTGAGGGCAAACGGGACCGAAGTCCACGACTGGTCCCTAATCAGCTTCCAGCCTGCGTAGTAACCATCCGTCCAGCGTTG